TATCCTGTGCCATCCTCATCATCTCTGACGTATTAGAGCCCATTGGGGAAGCCCCCTGTCAATCCATCTCATTAGGGGTCTTCCTCTCCTTCCCTGAGCTTCCGTCTTTCTAAGCATCATGTCCCGCTCACAGCCTCACCTATTCCAAATGCCTGTGTGGAACAACAAATCAACTAACTATTCATGTCCAAAGGATGAGAGGAAAGCTTTGGAATCTTTGTTTCCAAGGAGCACTCTCGCTGCACTTTTTAAAAAAATAAATAAACTTTTATTTTATATTGATTTGCTTGCAAAGTTCATATAGATTGTTCTTCACACCGATCTTTCCCATTTCTTTTACCCACACTTCCCAAATTGTGCGGCCCTATGATTTTTCCAAGACACATCTATTTGTTCTTTTGGAAGTTCTTGGGTTATTTAGCGCTCTTCTCCGGCACCACAACTTAAAGGCATCAGTTCTTCTTCCTCTTTAAAAATCTGTAAAACCATACCTTCAGCTGTTTACTGGGAAAGGAAATGCATCCTTCTTATATTAGCATTTAACTTTTGAAACAGTATTTTTCTTAGTCATATGGAAACTGTACCACAAGTTACCTATTTACTAGCAACTATATCTAAACTAATCTTTTGAATGTAATAACTCTGTAGCTTTGAACTAACAACGCTGTTGTTTAGTGCTATTGAGCTGCCTGCAACTCATAGCGACCTCACAACCTCACGAACAATAGCTCTGAAGCCAGCCTCACTGATTCTGACACTCACCCACTCATTGCCCTAGTTACTCTATCAATCCATCTCATCTGGAGTCTTCCTCCCCTGCACTGTCCCTCCACCCTTCCAAGTATGATGTCCTTCTCCAAGGACCAGTCCCTCCTGGCAATGTGCCCAAAGTGAGACAGAGCTTCAAAATCCTAGCTTCCAAGCGATAGTCATTTGATAAGTAGATTAATACTTAACTAAATCACACAATAACCATGTTTAGATGAGGAGACAGTTTTTAGAGAATCTGCTCTCCCGGATCTGCAATAAAGTGCTTTAGACACAGCACTCTATCTGTGTGTTTGCCAAGTAACTATGGAAAGAATGCCTTGTGTTCACTAACAAGGCCCCAGGCCCCCTTCTCCATTGGTCCCGGCCCCCTGGCCCTCTCCCATCATCCTCAGCCTAGACCCTCCCACCACCCCCAGCAGCTCGTGGACAAGTGGACAAGTTTGCACTGGTCCCTGCCCCTACTACTACTGCCTTAGTGGATGAGACGTGGAGCGAACCACACACCCTGTTGATCCTGTCCTGGGGCCTGAGCCCTGTCCCCCAGGGAGGAGTATGGAGCTGGCCACTCTCTCTCTGGGCCTCTCAGCAGGACAAGGTGGTACAGAGGCCCCCTGATCGCTGAATGACAGCCAGGCAAGGAGCTGGGCCCTTGATGTCCTAAACGCTGACCCTTTGATTTTTCTGATCAGCAGCGAGGTGGCTGTTCCTGTGTGTGGGAGTCCCGGATGTGATTATGGGGCGGTGGCGGAGTTGTGGCTGAGTCTCCCTGTGACGCTCCTGTGGGCCGGTGCGTTTGTGTTGGAGTGTTCCGGAGCAGTTGCATCACTCTGAGGGAAGAAGCCGTTGCCATGGAATCCCGTTGATCATCACCGTGACACAGGAAGGGGGCTGGTTCTCATTTCCGCGTTCCCAAGTCACAGTGGTACCTGGGGGTGAGCAAGGCAGCTGAGTCACGTCAGCGACCCCTGCAGCTCTCGAGGCCTGACTCACCTCCGGGCCCAGACACGCGCCTGCCACAGCCTCCTCGGCCCCTGCTCCTACTGCTCTTGTTTTACTAATTTCTCTACTTTCAGGAGACTTTCCCCCTTGACTGCAGGCCAGGCAGGGATGTCCAGCACTTGCCTGCCATCCCCCATGACTCCCACTGACCCAGGGACAAAAAGAGGAGAGATTTGAGAACACCAGGGAGTGGAGGAAGGGGTCCGCTGAGGGGAAGCTTGGTGAACACCTGATATATTCAACACGTAAATCACATAGACCAGACTTTCACACCCACACTAACATATCCATGGGCAGATGTGCATACACACACACACAACACACACACACACACACACACACACACACACACACACACACACACAATGAAGTGACAGGGCTGCCAAGGGGTCCTCCAAGTGCAGGAACTCTGGCTTGGCCAGCTGGTCCCCCAGCAATGTCTGCAGCCCATTGGGTCCTCCTACATCTGTGGGATCTCCTGTTTCTCAGTAGAAACACGCTGTCTCAGGATACTTGGAAAGAGCTCAGAGGAAGCGTTTCCACCCTGAGGCCCAAGCTAGAGGCCAGGAGGAGGTATCAGTGGCTGTAGATGAGTAGGGGGTCTCTGAGATCCCAAAGCTGTTTTTTAATTTGAGGGTGAGGGTTGGACTGACCTCTGGGCCCCTCGCTTCAAGAACCCTAATCACTGGGGCTGGAAAAAGTTTAAAAATATCCTCATGTTTACATTCTTTCCCAGCCCGCCTCCCCGAGCTGAGCCTTGGTGCTGGGGCCCTTTGATCTGGCTCTGTCCCTCTGGACAGGGCCTGCAGGAGACGGAGCAGGAGTCCCCAGCTAGGTCTACTCCTTAACTCCACCTAGCTTCAGACACGGCCAAGCCCAGTGAGACCCCTGGGAATGACAGGAGGAAAGATCTTGGAGCCAGAGAAGAGACAAAGCTGCAAAGAGGTGTCTTATCTGGGATCACCCAGAGGGGCTAGAATTGATTAACACTCCTCTCATACTTCACCACCAAAGCTCAAGGGAGTATGTGCTGTGTGTAGCTGTGGGCATCTGTGCTGTTCCCCTTTGAAGACCATGCACTGGGGACTCTCATGTTTGAGCTCCTGCTGTGTCCCGCCCATCTCACCAGCGTGAATTTCCACAAGCACATGCTAACCCACCACCGACCAGGGATCACAGCCAGCCTCGAATCTCACTCACTCTGTGACCCAGGATAAGCCATGCCCGCCACTGACCCTCATCTTCCTCTGCATAACTGGGCTGAACATGAAAGGAGGGGAGTATGTTAAAGTTGTTCAGGGACACTGAGTCCTTCTCTGTCCCCAGCAAAGGAATTTGTGGACTTGTAATAGCCCCAACAGGGACACATTTGGGGAGTAGGCTCCAACCCAAAGACCCAAGTAAAAAAAAAAAAAAAACAAAAAAAACCTAGACTGGAGCACAAGTCTTGGGCTCCGCAGTATCCTGTCATCCACTCTTTCCTTTGTTGGAACCTTTGCTCACCAATCCACCTACCCACCCATCCTTCTACTCAACCACCTGCCTATCCAGCCAGCCAGCCACCTATGGCGCTGCCCTCAGAGCTCATCCCTGAGTTGGGGAGCCTGGATGAGGTTGTCAGGCTCCTCCCGGCCAGCCTGCATTCCCACCCCGTCTCTCTCTTGGCTGGACTTGGCCCCCATCCCATAGAATCTGCCAGGAGTGGAGAGATTATCTCCTAAAAATAGGATCTGGGCCCCACAGAAGTTGTTTTTCTCCTTTCCCCGTGATTGAGCATCATCAGCCCGGAGTGCCTGGCACAGCAAGTCCCACTCTATCTCCCCAGCGACCTGTCTGAGCAGGGAATGGAGGGACTGGTGTGTGCTTAGGGCTGTCCAGAGCTGGGAGTTGGAGGTCAGTCTGGAGGTGTGGTCCAGGCTCTAGCAGGACACTAGGGTCCTGGCTCGATCTTGGACTAAAGCAGGCCTTGTTCCAGGATGGGCCACAGGAGTTTCTGCCCCACCCCAGAGGTGCTCGTTTGAGTGACTCCCTTTCTCTGGCTTTCTGAAGCCCCCGTTGCTATGTGTTCACCAGACTGTGCATGAGACCCAAAGGTGTCCTGGGGCCCACCCCAGCATCACATCAGCTCTATGGGCCCATTGGGGTTCTTGGCCAGTCCCCGACAGGGTACTCTGAGACTTTGGCCCACCCTCATGCTCAAAGCTTCGTCTTTCATACTTTGGGCATGCAGCTAGGTGAGGCTGGTTTTTTTTTTTTTTTTTTTTTTTTGGAAAGGGACATCACGCTTGGAAAGATGGAGAATCAGGCGAGCTCTGGTGGCCTAGGGGCAAGAAGCTGCACTACAATCCCAGAGGTGAGTGGTTCGAATCCACCAGATGCTCTGCTGGAGGAGGGACAATCTCCTCCTGTACCAGTCAGATCTGATTACGGTACACACAAAAAAAGAAAAAAATAATAATAAAAGAAAAAGAAAGATCTCGGAGAGTCAGTGAAGGAGAGGAAGATCCCCAATGAGATGGATTGACATGGTGACTTCAGCAATGGATTCTAGTGTGTCAGAGACGATGAGGATGGCACAGGATAGGACAGGGCTCAGGTCAATTGTTCATAGGGTCGCCATGAGTCATACTCAACTCAATGGCCCCTAACAACAACAACAGGTGCAAATGACTCAGACACAGGACGTATCAGGTTGTGTCTTCTCATGGAAGATGATGATGGCACAGAAATGACCAGGAAAACTCTCCCCAACCAGCACTAGGACAGGATGGCCACTGGGCTCCAGGTGCCAATGGGAATGACTCCCCTTGCTCAGCCCCAAAGTCTTGCTAAAAGCGCACGTGATGTTTCATGTCTTTTGCCACAGGAGACCCCAGGCGTGTCCCGTCTGTGCGTGGAGGCCGGGAAGGGACGACTGGGCAAGTGTGTGCACTCCCATAGGCATATTCACACACACGGACACCCAGACACCACACGGCAGTCCTGCAGGACACACGTCCTGCTCCCTGAGACTTTATTATCTCACAAGCTTGTCTCCACTTGAACACTCTCTCCAGGCAGTTCCTAAAATCCCCGCCCTGCAGACGTGTCTGGCGATACCGCTGCCTCCAGCCCAGAGCAGCCAGAGGGGTGCCTGATCTGTCCAGCTCCAGCTGCAGCGGGTGCAGGCCCCATCCCAGTGGATTCTGATGGAGGCTGAGACCCAGATTCTGCTGGCGGCCCTGCACCATTCAAATTGCTGTCTTTAGGGGCACGCTGTCCACCGGCTGATCCAGGTCCTTCTTCCTCGCCAGGGCCAAGTGGGTGAAGACGATGATGAGCAAGAAGCCTAGGGGCCCGCAAGAGATGGATTAGCCCTCAGAGGACGCTGTGCGACCTGCCTGTCAGCGGGGATTTCCTGCTACTGCTGTTGGTTTCATAATGTGGCAGCGTTTCCTAGGCAGAGTCCCCCAGGTCAAGCTGGGTGATTATGGCCCGTATCTGAAGAACCTGGCTGCTTGGCTTACCTGGCCCTCCCTAGGCCTCTGCCCTCGGCAGGCAGCCCTAGCACACCCATAGTCCCCTTCTCTGAGGGACAGGTTGGATGGGATTCCCTGGAGCTCTGAAAGAAAGGCACCAGAGCCAGCACTGAAAGCCAGCCTCTTATTTGCAAAGCAATAAACCTTCTGCCAGTCGAGCTAAGTTACATCTGACTCAAGACAAGCCTCCATCAGGTGTCCAAGGCTGTACACCTTTCTGGAGGAGACTGGCCATCTTTCCTCCAAGGGGCTTCTGGTGGACTCGCCCTGCCAACCTTTGAGCTAATCGCCCAGCATGCAGTGCACTGCACCACCATTGAGAGAGCTAAAAAGATGAGGAGATGGGGAGGGAGGCTTGGGCTGAGGAGTTAGACCTGTACTGCCACGACCTGGCTGTGTCACCTTGGACAAGTCACTTAACCTCTGAGCCTCGGGGTGGACATCTGGAAAATGCAGACATCTACCTGGCAGGGTCATAGCGTGGAATAAATGAGCTGACCCATGTGAGACACAGTAAAGGGGTCTTAACGTAACACGAAGTGCTATGTTGACAATGATGATCAGGAAACAGGGCCTCTGGCCTAGGGACTGAGGGAGGTGAGGGCCCTGATTACCTGGACACCGTGGTTCTGACCCTTCCCCACCGTCCCTCACAGGAGTTTAGCCCCCATTACCTATGGCTGCCAGCGTGCCCACGAGGATGCCCACTGCCGACAGCTTCGTGGGCATGCCCTTCATGCGGCCCACCTTGCGCAGGCACTGCCCCTCCACGTTGCACCGACATACAACCACTGCAGGCCAGGGAAGGAAGGTACGAGAAGGTAGAGAGGAGGTGGGGAGGGCCGTCCGGCTGCGCGGGTTCCCCAGATCAGCCCAGCTGGTCAGTATGTGTACACATGTACAACACAGGGCTGTGTGCGTGTGTGTGTGTGTGTGTCAGTGCACACAGGTGTGTGTGGCCCACGACACACAGGTGTATGCTGTCTCTGTGAACCCAGCCCTCCTCCCCCTGCACAGAACACCTCAGAAACCCCAATCAAAGCTGCCCCAGGTCCCACCTCACCTCGGATCAGGAGTTGCCACGTCTGGTCATTGTGGGTGACAACTACAGGGACCAAGTGCTCCTGTGGCTCCACCCAGTGCAGGGCCATGGTGAGGAAGGCATGGGACTCTGAGGAGAGGGCAGGAGGGTAGGAGAGTGCTCCCCACAGCAGGTTAAGGAGTGCTCCCCCGTCCCAGCAGCCCCAGCCCCACAGTGGATGAACATCTCTCTCTCCCCAGTGCCACCTCCTCTCTGCTTGGCTATATGCCTCGCTCCCCACCCACACACACCATTGAAGGCCTGGAGGTGCCAGTCTCGCTGCACAGTGGGATTGGGTCCCAGGGCAAAACTGTAGGGACCCTGTCCATTGGCCAGGTTGGGGTCCTCGCTGGCTCCACTGACCAGCACGCCACGGTCCTGGCGGGGTGTGCAGAGGTGCCGGGCAAACCTGGGGGCTGGAGGCAGGCCAGGGGCTGGCGGGGCCTTCAGGAAGTGGAGCGTGAGGGTGGCTGAGACGCTCAGGTCTGGATCGTCTGTAGAGGAGAAAACAGCATGCTGACCCAGGCGGGGATCTGGGTGAGAGTAAATTAGAAGTTTAATTTAAAGAATAGAACTCTTCTTAGAAAACAAGGCAGGGAATTTGGGGGAACATCAGCAACAGGAGAAACAGCTCTGGCTTTGGACCTGAGCCTTTATTTACTGTGTGTGTGTGACCTCCGGAAAGGGCCACCCTCCAGTGAACCTCAGTTTCCCTACATGTGAAATGGGGCCTTTCAGTTGAGGCCGGCATCTCTTAGTCTTGGCTCCCAACTCCCCAACAGCTGCCACTGCCCCCTAAGGAGGCCGGGGGCCTGGTCGTGCTGACCCCCAGTCCCCCTCCCACCAGCCACCTTTCTATCACACTCCAGGCTCAACCCCTTTCTCTCTGCCCCATCATCACCCAGCATGACTCCCTCCCCAGTTCCTTCAGGCACATCCTCACATGCACTTTCCCTTTCACAGTGTCAACAGCTGCCACGCCCACTGTGCCTCTCAAGGTCTCCTGACACCATGGACACCTGGGCAGAAGTGCAGGCCAACACAGCCCCTTGTCACACACGCCAGGGCCAGCCCGGCTTCCTGACCTGAGCGGGGTCACACTTCCAGATGCCCCTCCTGGCACACAGCCCAGCCTGACTCCACTTCCCCAGGCCTGTCCTCTCTGGCCCCAGCCCCTTACCCTCTGCCCCACCCCCAACCTGTCCCTGGAGTCACATACCCTTGAGAAGCTCTCAAGGAGCTAGAGGTCAAAGTTGAGGTGATTTCAAGTGCCCCCAACTGGAGGCTGGTCTAAGAGGGAAGGCAGAGGCCAGACCTGCCCTTCTGGCTGTAATCCCATTCTCAAGGTTGACCTGAGCCTTCTCCTTGCCACTCTCTCCTTGCAGTCCCAGGGGGATGCCTGCGATGCTGCGAGGGGGACACTGAGCCTGCCGGAGCTTGCTCTCTCTCCCACAGCCGCCACCACCACCCTGTCATACCTGCATCCTGGGCCTCCACAAGCACTGTGTATGAGTCCCCATGCCGGGCGCCCTGCAGGGACCGGGCTGTAGACACCTTCCCGGAGCCCTCCTCAATGCAGAGCCAGCCCTCTGAGTCATTGACCAGCGAGAACCTGGGGTCCCGAGAAGGTGAAAACAGGAAGAGTCTCTGAGACTACACTTGGGGTCTTTTGTAAATAGACACACACACACACACACACACACTCACACACACACTCCTGGGCTGTGTGACCTCTTCCCTGTGGCTCAGTCATGGCACGAGTGGCCACATTCCCAGTGTCTCTCCCCAGTGCCAGAGACTAGAAGGATACATACACTGGGACAGAGGAAGCCAGAGTGACAGACTGAGCAAGGGTGTATGTGGTGCTGACAGAAAAACTTCAAACCAGAGGAGAAAGAGCCCAGCTCTGTTGGGGGTCTCAGACCATGGATATGTTGGGTCTTTCACTATCACAGCCTGAGGGGCCTAACTCCACTCCACTGGTCCCAGGGGCCCCACGGGCCCCACAGATGGGCCTGAAGGAGGCAGAGTCTGAAAGCAGCCTCACTCCTTCCCAGCAGAAATCTAGGTGGGACGGGAGAGAGGGTCTGGCCCTGGAGAACCATGGAATCATAATCTGAAGGCAAATGAAATCATAATCAGAAAGCATAATCTGAGCTTCTGTGGGGTTCAGACACACCCCTCCGTGCCCCACTCAGCCCACCTGGCCCTGATTCCACCAGCAGTTACTACTTTGGCATTAGCAGCAGTTTGAGGAAAAGTCCAAGACCCAAAATTTCCTGAGGTCACTTCCAACGAGCAGAGCAAGTCCAGGCCGTGGAGGGTTGGGCTGTTGGCTCACCTGAGGGGTCTGCTTGTGGGGTCTGAGGGCTGGATGGTCAGCAGAAACGAGCCCTGTGGGGTGCTGACTGGGACAGTGGCCTCATAGCTCTCCTGGTCCAGCTTGGGGGGTGGCACCATCCTCTCCACCAGCACAGCCACTGTGGCCGTGGATGCGGGGCCTGGGTCTGGCCCCACCAGGTTCACCACGCTCCGCACCACCACCACCAACTTGTAGCTTGGAGCTGCTTCATAGCTGAGGTTCTGAGGTCAGTGGGATGAGGGTCACGGCGCGGGCACGTGTGCATATGTGGGTTCCACCGTCCCACCTACAATACCCACTGGCCCCTCACCTTGTGGAGCCGGAGGTGGGCGTGACCAGAGTCTGGCTTCCAATCCAGACTGAAGGTCCCCTCCACATCTCCTGACTCAATGGCAAAGTCCATGAGGCGGAAGTCAGGTTCAATGTCAGCGTCAGTGGCCACAAGGGTGGTCACCAGAGCCCCAGGCTCTGTGTCCTCAGGCAGGCTTATGGGCCCGATCTGGAGAGAGGAGGTGGGAAGCCGTCAGCCTCTCTTCCAGTTAGAACTTGTTCCTAAGTCGTCCTGTTCCCACTTACCTGGGAGGTGGTGAACTCGGGAGCATGGTCATTGATGTCTGTGATCGAAACAGTGACCTCACACGTGCTGCTGAGACCTGGGCCGACAGAGGACATGTGGGGGAGGCTGGGGTAGGAAGAGCGGGCAGGGTACCGGCTCACCATCAGGACACTTACCACCCTCTGCTCCCGCCAGGTCACTGGCCAGCACCTGAAGCACGACGCTCTGGCCAGCTCGGAGTGAGGCAGCCCCCAGTGTCACCCTGCCCGAAGCAGGGTCCAGCTCAAAGGCTTGCCCCTCTGCCCCCTCCTCAGGCTCAGGGCTCAGCAGCCGATACACAACGTGGGCATTAGGGGTGCCAGGGGCATCTGCGTCTTCTGTGGACAATGTGGTGATCGCCGTACCTGCAAGACAGTAACCTCTCGGGTGGAACTTTGGCCCCAGACACCCACTTCTCGATGACATTGTTTAACTGAAACTGAGTTGTGTGCATTTGTATTTTGGGGTTGCACGTTGATATGGTGGCCGAGACTGGACCGCCACACCGGAGAAGAGAAATGAGATTGTTTGTGGGGACTTCACCTCTCCTCCCAACCCAGCCAAGGCCCAAGACCCACCTGGGGGGCTGAGCTCAGGGATGCTGATTGGGGGTCCAGGTTGGGTGCAGACAGGTGCATTGTCGTTCTCATCTGTCACCACCACCTGCAGCTCCAGAGGTTCTGTGTAGTCCTCCCCATGGGTATTCTGAGCCCACACCTGGAGCAGGTACTAGAGGAGACAGTAGGCCCTTGAGACCAAGAACAATCCAGTCTGGACAAATCTGGGTTCCCTTCTAGTGACTAGCTCTGGCTCTTTCTGGTTCACTGGGTGGAACCTGGCATCCCAGAAGCACCCCCAGGTCTGCCCCTCTGGCTTCCCTCTCACCTCACCTCAGCCTGGGCCTCTCGGTCCAGCTCCTCGGTTACGTAGAGATTCCCTTCTGGGTTCACATCGAAGGGTCCAGGAGGCTGGCTCTCCAGATGGTAGTGCACATCCCCCCCATTCCAGTGTACCTGCAGAGCACCCCAAACCACAGGGCATAAGCAGCCTATGTCAGCCCTGCGCCCCAGTTACTTCCTGAGTTGGGAGTCTGTGACCCCAGGTAAGTTGCCACCCTCCCTGGGTTTGGGGAGGTCATTCTATTTGAAGGTATGTATTATTGTGGCAACTCCACGGTGGCCTTTCTCCAGACCAAGCCTGGATCCTGGCGCAGGTGCCCTATTTTCTCCCCTCTCGGCCTGGCCTGACCCCAGGCCATTCCTAGAGGAGGCCTGAGACGTTCCTGGACTGGGTGTTGATCCCCGCAACAGCTGTTCTCTCTAAGAGAGCCTTGTGCAATCTCAGGAAGCCAGACGCTAACAGGTGAGGGACTGTGGATCTCTCCCAGGGCCTTGAACTTCCCACTGCACGGTGGGAACTGATGAGAACCCCGGAGGGAGGAGCTTATGTGGGGACGAGTCAGGATCAAGTTGGGCCCAGACCCCAGGACTCCATGAAGCGAGGACACTCCCCTCCTGCTCACCTGTGCAATGAGGTGTGGGTATGAGACCTTGAGATTCTCCGCCAGGTGGATGGACTCGAGGGGCATCCACGTGTTCTCTACTATGGAGACATCTATGGTGGCAGTGGCCTGGTGGCCTGAGGCCTCGTCGCCCATGTCCTTGACCTGTACCAACAGCTGGTAGGACCCCTCCAGGGCATGGTCTAGGCTGGTGCTCCCTAGAAGGGGTAGGGGGATTAGCTGAGCAGGGAATTAGGGGCCAGGGGCCAGGGCACCCCCAGCCAGGAACACAACGAGACACAAGGCTGGTATTTAAGATAGTGTCTTGGGCAGGGGATGAGAGAAAAGCTTTTAACACTTCTGTGAATCTCCAAGTAAGATTTGGCTGTTTGCAAAGCCACTTCGAGATCTGTTTACACAATAAATAGCTGGGAATGGCTGGATGGTGGATCGGCAATTTATCGGAATGGCAGTGAGATATGGATGGGTCCATGAGAGATTGGATCAATCAATAGTCAGCTAGGTAACTGGTTGGGGGTTTTAGATGGACTGGGTGATTGGGTGATTGACTTTTCTTTTCATCTCTAATCCAAGCCTTTGGTTCTGAACTCCCAGGTCCCAGTTCCACTTGCCGCAGTCACAAGGTATCTCAACAGCATCATAAGATTTAACCCCTCAGACCTCTTCTATCCAGATGCCGTAGCTCCAGGTCTCCGGAGCATGGATTGGGGGCACCGCCGCACTTATTCTGTGCACGGTCACTCTAGGGGTGGTCTGGCCTCCCAGCCTTCAACCTTGCTCTCCTCTCCACCTAGAAGTCCCTTTCCCCTCCTTTACCTCTCGGACCCATTCTCTTAGAGCTCACATGCTATCTTCAGCTTCCCTGGCCCACTCTCTTTGTCACACTCAGGCTCACCCTGGGGGCTGAGGGCCAGAGCCCCCTCTCGGGGATCCAGCTGGAACAGGTCTGGGTGAGGCTGGGCCGGCACCTGGCTCAGGATGTGGAATCGTAGATCCGAGTTGGCTGTGCCTGGCTCATCCGCATCTGAAGCCTCAAGGAAGAGGAAGGGAACGCCTAGTTTTGGGGGCAAGGGGGAATCATGAGATAAAGAAAGAGTAGGGCGAGTCCTCGTGTCCTCCTCTCCTTGGTCCCCTCTCTCTCTAGGACCCTGAGGGTAAATTAGGACTCTTCATCTCACTTCACAGATGAGCAAACTGAGCCCAGGCGTGAACAGACCCATCTGAGGACCCTCAGCAAGACAGGGGCCAGGAAGAAGAAAATAACAGTGGGACACGACAAAGCGTGGACTTGTGGACTTCGGGTGCCCTGTCCCCTTGATGACTTTCTGGCCATCTCTGAGTGCTCCTGTCTCCTTAGCGTCCACCTGACCCTGCTGTGACCTGCCTACTCTTGTCACTCACCAGTCTTGGTGCCCTGGCTCAGCCGAGCTCGGTAGATGGCCTGGGAGAAACGGGGCACCTGGTCGTTCTCATCCTTCACGTGCACAAGCACGTGCTGTGGACCCCACAGGACATGTCTGTCCTCTGTCTCCATGGTCACCTAGCAGGGAAGGGTAGTCAGTGCCACGTCCTGCCTTCCCTGCTGTCCCCAGTCCTGGGCCGGCCATACCTGAAGCTGGTACTCTGCCTGTTCCTCTCGATCCAGGGCCTTGGTCACCAGCAGGAAGCCAGACTCTGGATCCACAGCAAAAGGGCCATCAGCCATCATGCTGGAGTCCTCGGACAGCACGACCAGGCCCCCGGCCTCCTTAGGGGGCAGTGGCAGCTGTTGGGGAGTTGGGAGCCAAGACTAAGAGATGCCGGCCTCAACTGAAAGGCCCCATTTCACATGTAGGGAAACTGAGGTTCACTGGAGGGTGGCCCTTTCCGGAGGTCACACACACAGTAAATAAGGGCTCAGGTCCAAAGCCAGAGCTGTTTTTCCTGTTGCTGATGTTCCCCCAAATTCCCTGCCTTGTTTTCCAAGAAGAGTTCTATTCTTTAAATTAAACTTCTACTTGCCTCTAGGACTAAAATCTTACTAGTTATTAACGCACACTGTGTGGAGAGCAGAGTTTTAAGGAAGCCAGAGCAAGAGAGAAGGCAGGGGTGCTGGAGGTTGGGGAAGAGGGGGCAGCCCACCCAGCTCACCTTGGTCAGGTACAGAGGGAAATTTCCACCGTAGTTCTCTGGGACTTCCACATGCAGCTCAGCAGTCTGGGCCGTGACAAATACCTGTGCGAGGATTCCCACCTTGTCCCCAGGGGCCAGCTTCCTGGGAGTTTTCACCTGGACACACCTCATCCCATGCACTCTTAGGGCCTTGGGCCCCTGATGCCTCCGGTGGCCCATAGCCAACTTTGACAGCCCACCACTATTCTCCCAGTCAATGCAGCTGGTCAGGGCCAAGAAGGGGCATGAGTGTAAACCCAAGGGCAAGACCTGAAGGAGGGGACAGGGCTCCACTTACCTGGGGGACAGAAAGGCAAAGCAGCCACAGCCAGGCAGGGCCCATGGTCAGGACAGACCTGAAGGACATGGTGGTATAGATACAGGCCAGCTGCCTGCAGAAGGGCCTTTTCCACCACTGTCCCCCAAGGCATCTCTGCCCTGCTCCCCACTAGGCTCTAAGCTACAGCTCCTTAAGCTGACAGAACTCAACTTGTCCAGCTGACTCTTCCTTCCTGGTCACTATAGGGTAGACAGACGGGGCTCTTCCTGCCTCCTGCCCTTCTATTTTGCCCCAGCAGGTCTCAGAGCGGCCTGTTCTCCCCTCTGCTCTCTCACACCCTGCCCCATCCACCCCTGTGCTTGTCTTCTGCCTCAGGCCATTCTCACACAGCCCTAGGACTCTCATATCACACGGGTCTAGGATCCCTCCCCTTGGATGGTCCAAGGCTCTCCGTGGCCTGCAAGGCAGTGACCAGGCCCACCTAGGTCCCAGGCCTGACCACCTTGCCTCTTGGCTCTGGCCCCCACAAGGAGCTCCATGGCAGTGTCACCTGCAGATATATGTGTCCTTCCTACCACACCCCTCCACCAAGCTCGAAGATCCCAAAGTGGTCATTTCCCAGCAGACTCAAAGAGTCCTCAAAATATAAAGCTGCAAAGACCATGATAACTTTGAAGATCGCTTCGAGCTGTCCCCTCATGTTGCCAGGAAGGCCTGAAGAGGGGCAGGGCCTGGCCAAGGTCACCAAGGACTTGACCACAGAAGAGTTCCTCTTGGAACAGAGAACTCTCGGTCTAGGGCCCCCACTGCTACCTCCAGATTCCGTGCCCACAGAGCTAGAGTCTGCCTCACTCAGAATTTCCCAGCATTCAGCACAGAGCTCGCCAACCACTGCAAGGTGGATCCTTGGGAATTCTTCCCCAGACACCAAGGTTAAGGAGTAGCACGTCTTTAAACTGCTGTGCCTGCCTGTCCTAATTCTTCTCTCAACACCAACCGGGCCTTGCCCACCCCTCTCCCCAGCTCCTCACCTGCCAGTGGCTAAGGCTGGCTCCCTTGGTCCAACTACCACGCAAAAGGCTTCCTTCTCCAGGTTGCTCAGGCCAGGCCGGGCCGGATGGGTTTGGACAGGGCGGACACTTGCTGGTGGGCGGTCCGACCACACTTGCTTAGGAGTGGAAAACACCACTGGGCCCAGCGTAGCATGCCCAGCCCTGCCAGTCCCCCAGGTTACTCATTGACTTTGGAAAGCTGAGCGAGGGCTGCTCAGCATCTGTGACCAGGAGGTGGGGAGATTACCAGGCTGGGCACTCCCTACACCCCGACACAGCCCAGTGGGCACTCCTGCACCCTGGGCTTGGATACTAATTCTTTTGCCCTAGACTTGGCCTCACTGCCCCTTGTCCTTGCCAGGCACGAGTCTGTCGCTGCATCTTCTAACCTGGAATTCCGTTCCCACTCTTCTGTCTTCTGAGCACCTGCTCAGGCCTCAGTGCTCAGCTCAAATGTTCCCTTCTCCAGGAAACCTTCGCTGCGTGTCCAAATTGGCTCAGAAACCTCATCCCTTCTCCCACGCCATGTATTACCCGAACCAATGCACAGAGGACACCAGATTGTCCTATCTGTCACTTCCAGACAGGAAGGCCCTCCCCAGCAGGCCTCGAGGACTCGACAGTGGCCTGGCTCTCGCAATGCCCTGGCAGCTCCTGGGACAAGAAGGAGCTAACGGCTACGCCTTTGGATGAATGAGCAGTGCTCAGCCTGACCTGGGCACTCAGGGCTTCAGCCTCCCTACTGGTTGAATTAGTGGGCCAGCACCCTCCCGTGACTCCCAAGCTTCCATAAATCCTCACATTAGACTCTGGACGCTCAGTGGGTTGGGACAATGGACCATCTCATGCCCCGAAGAAGGAAAGAGAGCTGAGCCATCCTGGGTGACCTTGAAGGTGTTACTGGACTGCCCTGGGGCCCTTCCTCCAGTGAGGGAAGCCAAGTGGAGCCAGGAGAAGCTTCTGGGGCCTGGGAATTAGACGCCAAGGGAGAAGGGGAGGAAGAGACAGGGATACTGGTTCTAGCCCTTTCCTGTCTCCTTCAAGCCCTTCCACTGCACATCTGGCTAGTCTTTCTCGGGCAGGACGCAGGGTGGGGACCTGTCAACTGTCCAGTCTTGCCCGTCACAAGCTGCCAGCCAGTCCCAACATCACTCAGGCATCCCAGCCAGCAGTGTGGAGATATTGTGGGTGTGGGTCTCTCGTATGTATTATGTGCCAGGCACTACTCTGAGCTTATTATTTCTTATTGGAACCAACTCGTAGCTGGCCCTCAAGTGAGTTTTTGGAGGCTGTATGTACATCCATTGATCGCTTGGGAGATCGCCCGTCTTTTTCCTGCAGAGTAGCTAGTGGATTTGAAATGCCTGCCACTGGGTTGATAGTAAGACGCCTTACCACGAGGTCACCAGAGCTGCCTCCTCTGAGCACATAGCTTCATTATCCCTCCAACTCCACTCCGACAAGAACTCATTCTCATATCCACACTTGCTCAGAAAATGAATGTCTGAACTGGGAAGGTCCAGAATCCTCTTCAGGGCCCAGGACCTGCACCTGCTTCAAGAAAACCTCACCCTCCACCTTCCTCAAGATATACCAAGGAGTCCTGGGGGGAAAGGAGCGGCTGTTCAAACAGCTATCACTGCCCTGTGGGCACATGGGCTAGTCTCAGAGGTTCCCTTCCACACATGCACAGGGGGCCTGGACACCCCCTCCAAGCCTTTAGAAAGGTAGTAATCAGGGTTCAGATCCAATCATGAGAGTTGCCAGCACGTCTGAATGAACAAACTAATGAAGGAAGATGTGGGCCCTGGCCTGGAGCCTGCCTAGAAGCTGCCTGCATCTCGCTCTAGGCTGTCCCCGCTCTGGGAAATGGCCAGATCTGGATACCAGGTGCCACTCAGCCACTTCCTACCACGAGGCCTGGGCAAGTGCTTCATTTCACCATAAAGGGATGCTCATCTCTGAAACCCTGGAGACCCTGGTGGATACTTGGTGCTGAGAAGGGCCAGGTGGCTAAGGAGTCCCCTTCTGAGAGTGAGGGAGAGTGGGGGGACAAGCACATCCTCAGCTGTGTCCGCCTTCCCACACCAACCCAAGACCACTCAGAAAGGGCAGGGCTAGCTGCCCAGAGCGGCTCCTCCCGGGAACCAGTCAGGCAGGCACCTCTGAGCATGGGATGTTCGGAACTGGTGGGTCGCTCACGTGCAAAGAACAGTGAAGACCCTTCAGGAGGGGTAGGGCAGACATACCGGTGCAGAACTTGTCTAGTTGTGAGAAGAGAGGCAGGATGCGGCCCCACACACTGCCTCAGTTTCCCTTATGTGCAGAGGGATGACCAGAACCCTCCAATGGTAGGAAATGCCAGGTCCCAGCAAAAGGTCTGGATTGCAGGGGCCCGGAGGAGTTTATACCCCTTTCTGCTTTTCCCTCATTCTATGTCCCTCTCTGGTCCACACTGTACCCTCTGCCTGGACGCTGTGCCATCTGCCCCAACGCTGTGCCCTCTGCTGCCCACTGCCCAGGCTGGGGCCCAAATATTAGAACAAAGTCACACATACCAGGGTGAACCCTCATTTCTTAACTTTGGGAGCCCTTCCTGCTTCTGCAGTCCTCAGGTGGGAGGAAACAGAGTCAGCAGCTCTGACTTACAAGGAAATAGTCTTTATTATATATATAAAAAAAAGACATCTGCATGTAAACAAATAGCCACCGCATTGAACAGCACACCACAGGTGTGGACAAGGGCGCAGTCACAGTCATCTCCCACACATGGGCCTGCAGAGACCCCACAGAAGGGGCACGCAGCCCGCAGGCTGGGCTTGGCCTTCGGCCTTGGGACACACGTGGGCCCGCGCACATCCTCTGGGGGCCCAGTCTGTGTGGCCACTGGCGGCCACATTGTCTGCCCATGACCTTGAGGTGGGGAATTGCCTGATTGGCAGTTCCCAGGGGTCCAGAGACTGAGGCGTCCAGGGTGGCTTGGCGGGACCAGTCCACAAACTCATTCTTCTGTCTGCAGAGTGTGCCAGGTGGGGCCTAGAGAACCGAGAGGTCATGGCAGGACTTGGACTTGGCTCGAAAGGCCATCTTGCGGCTGTTGCGCGCCACAATGCGGCCCAGGAAGCGCTTCGCCTTCTTACCCAGGCTCTCTCGCCTCCGGCTACCTGCCTGCCGACGGGCGTTGGCCTCTTTGCTGTCCCTGCGAAGGCGAATCTGGCGCACAACGCCCTCAAACAGAGCCTGGACGTTGTGGTGCAGCGCAGCTGAAGTCTCGATAAACTTGCAGTCAAATACCACTGCGCAGGCCCGGCCCTCTGTGGATGGAGAACAGGCAAGGGTAGGTGACCAGGCACCTCATAGCTGGGGTCCCCCCAGGAACAAGGAGACCTCAGGTCCTGGATCACCTGATAGGATGTGCCTGCGGTCAGAGAACCCCCAAAGTGGGACCACAGAGACTTATTTATTGAAACAATTGGATGCAAAAAGTCAGCAGTTCAAGCCCACTAGTCAGTCACTCCATGGAGAAATATGAAGTGGCCGGTCTGCCCTCTTTTACGATTTACAGCCTGGGAAACCTGGTGGAAGGTTACCCTGAGTCAGAATCGTCACTATGGCAGTGAGTTTGCTTGTTTTGATCTAAAAAGGAGGTCTAGTGGCACAATGGTTAAGCATTTGGCCTCTACCTGAAAAAGTGAATTCATGCATCAATCTCTTAGGAGCAAAGGCCACGCGATCTGCTCCTATGCAGATTACAGCCCAGGAAACCCTGATGGGGGCACTCTACACTGTCCTGTAGGGTCACAAGAGCCATAATCAGCTCAAAGGGCCACAAGAACAGCTATTTAGGGAGGAATCAGCACAGGAAAATGAGAATTGTTTGGAAACACATGGCACTTTGATGTTCTATCAGGACAAATGATATAATAGAAAGGGTGTGGGAAGGTACTGTAAACAAGTCACTGCTGGGTTTTTGATGGGCCCTGCTGGGTTTTTGATGGGCCCATAGAAAAGGATGCTGAGTTCCCCCTCCATGGAGAAATACACCCCCCAAGATTTGTCCAGACCTGGAACCCCAGGCTCTGCCCTTCTCATCTGACTCCCTGCATTCTTCTCACCCCTCACCAGGCCAAGGCCAGAGGGGATAAGGGAGTCCTAAAGTGTCTCGTTCAGTGTCCAGCATCCACCTCTCTGTCAAAGCCCAGACATGGGGAGACGCCTCCTCCCCTGAGCTCTCCTCTTGGACATTTTTAGCCACTGATGATCTCCAGGGACCTGAGCTGAGCCAAGATGAGTGGACCACAGCCAAGCCAGGATCTCCCTCCCTCCCCAGCCGCCCTCCCCTCCCTGCTCACCATCCACAGAGATCTCACGAGAGCGGACCAGGTCGCTCTTGTTGCCCACGAGAATGATGGGCACGTCGTCTGTCTGCCGCGCCCGCCGCAGCTGAACCCGCAGCTCTGAGGCCTTCTCGAAGCTGCTCTTGTCCGTCACAGAGTACACGATGACATATGCGTCCCCCATGGCCATGCAGTGACCAGGCAGCCAGTGGCCACCATCCTGCAGAATACACATACAGTCCAGCCCAGCAGCCCTCATGTCCCAGACACAGCCTGGCACTCTCAGCAGCCCACCCCTCCCATCCCTGTCCTGGGTTTCAGGCTGCATCCTACCTGCTCCCAAATGTCATAGACCAGGAGTGAGGCCTCTTCTCCGTCCACTGTGATGGAGCGATCATAGGTGTGCCCTACACAGAAACCCAGTACCAGGTTACTTACTGACTGCCCAGGGACCCCAGTCCCAGACTCATTCTCTGGTCACATCCTCAAGCTCCTCCGCGGGACCCTCAGACATCCTGCGCCCCCAAACCTTGCGGAGGCTGCCTTACTCTCCTGACCCTGGGCAAGGAATGGAGTGAGCAGAAAGATGTAACAGGGCTGGGAAGGGCAAGGGGGAGGACAAGGGGTGTCTGTTCTCCGCCAAGACACCCACCACCCTCCACACCCTGCCCCACTAGCTAGCAATGTCCTCAACACCAGTGCCCCCACTCTCCTCCGCCTGGCCGCTGGAGTGGCTCTGATCACATTCATCTAACCAAAATCAAGAGTGTCATTGCTCTGGAAGCCCTAGGTGATCTGGGCTCCTCACCTAGAAATTCCTTCTGGCTGAGTTCCTGCTGACACGGACAGGGAAGATGTCCTACCCTCACCCCACAGAAAGGTCATGCAGGAGCACTGCACCCTTTACTCTGGGAATTTCATGTGCTGTTGTAGGGTAAGGAATCCCTTCTGCCTTACTTTCCCGTCTGTGAAATGGCTAGGAGGAGGCATGATTCTGAAAGTGTCTTTGGAATCCCATAGGTCCCCAGCCTCATGGCTCCCAGTCCCGCCCCTGTAAATCTCCCCTCCTCTGACCTGCCCAGTCCTTTACCTGCGGCCTCTGCGTCAGGTCCCTCCTCCACACCACCAAAGATGCGGGCCAGCGCGCTCTTGCCCACGCCAGGCGCCCCCAGAAGCAGCACCTTGTACACGCTGTCGTCTGAGTCGCTGCCCCCGGAGCTGAGGGAGTCCGAGGAGCCTTCGGGCCAGTCCAGCCGCGGGCCCTGGGCGCGGGCCTCGGTCGTTGCCAGGGCCCCGGGCGCCAGCGCTGCCTGCAGGTCGCGCTCGTCCACCGGCATGCTCCGCCGGTGCAGGGGGGGCGCGGGGCCCCAGGGTGTGCTGCCCCGACGGCGCTCGCGCTCCTGGCCCCCGCGGCTCCCGCCAGCCCCACCGCCACCGCCATTCAGGGTCATCGTGTCCCACGTGGCCTGGGGGACAGGGAGCCAGGATGGCCGCATGAGTCGCGGGGGCCTGGCGGGCTGGGAGGCCTGACCCGGGACGCACCTGCCCAGCCCAGAGTCCGGGGAGACGGTGCAGCCTCTCCCCAGGTCATGAGGTCCCTGCACCTCGACAGTGACCCATCGCGGAGTGCCCCACATCGGGCTCACGACAGTGTGGCCACATTCCCCCATTCCCCGCCTCCAGGACACTCACCCACTCGCTCACGGATGCGATTAGGACTCGGATCTGGGTTTGGAGCCTCGCGCTGTGGCCGCTGGAGCCCGTTCTCGCTGCGCTGGGTCCGTGCTCGGCGCCGCCTATTTAAGCCTCTGCCCGCCCCCGGCCTCGCCCCCGGACGCCACCGCAGCTGGGGTGGCGGGGGCTGACGTGTCAGTCCCCCTCGCCCAGGGGAATCCCCACCCTCCTCTTGGGCCCACCCTTGGGAGTAAGGACCCCCTCCCCCAAAACCTTCCCCTGCAGAGACAGACACCCGACTGGGGGGGGGGAGGGAAGGAGGGAGCGAGGAGGGAGGAGAGCGTGTGTAAGATGAGTGACCACAGAGGGGAGCTCCAGGTGATGGAGAGCCAGCCATCCGGACAACGGACAACGGAGGTAACCTTCCCCTGGGGACGCATCAGGTCTGGCCCTTTAAGAATCCGTTCCTACTCTTCGACCAGCCCAGTTCCCCCGGCCTGTAGCTCAAGTCCAGTGAACTAAAAGAACTGAGTTACCAAAAAGTCTACCCTTCCCCTTCTCCGTCCATGACACCCACTGCGAATAGACTCAAGCCTAAACTCTAGCCTCAACGCCCTGGCATCCCCTCCTGCTCCTGAGAAGTTGAAGATTCTCTCTGCGGAGCCTGCCCTTTGGGGTGAGGGTTGACACCACCCCGAGTGCCCAAGACTCTTTGTAGGGCAGTTTGGAGGGACAAGCGAGGGAGATTACTGGCAGTGCGTGGCAGGTGGAGGTGCACACTGGACTCTGGGCAAGGGACACTAGAGAAGGGGAAATGACGAATTCAGCCTCAGCCGTCCCCTTCCCCACAAACAGCTGTGGGCAACTCTGCTAAAAATACCTGGCCCTGGCCCTCCCCTGCTCATTCTGCTTCTGGACTGGAGGTTTTCCAGAGTTGGGGAAATCCAGGCAGAGGAGTCAGGTGCCAACAGGGGCAGATGGGCCCCGGGCTGGACCAGGGTCAGGGTTAGATCTAGCCACCTGAGCCTTTGCAGGATCCTTCGCTCTAGCTCCAGTCTGGGCCTGCTGTCTAGTGCCTGGAGGTTCAGACCCTCACCCAAGAGGGGTTAGAGGCAAAGCATGGTCAAGGGTGGGGCGGGTGAGGAGGGTGGTGTGTGTGTGTCAGGTACCACTGGTGCCACTGCTGATCAGAGCTAAACCCCTCAGATGTAGGGTGGGAGCTGAGAACACAGGGGCAGGGGGCACACGGTGTGACTTGCTTTTCAACCGTGGCTCTACTTCTAGCCTCCCTTCCAGCTTCATATTCTTCCCTGCTCATCTCCGAGGCATATGGGGATAAGGGACAGACAGGCTGTGAGGTGCTTTGTGACAAGGACCTATCAGATTCTAAAGCCTGGTGTAGTGGGGACACCACATGAGACTTGAGTGACATCAAGGATGGATGCTGTGTTGTCTTGGTGACCTGGCGTGGACTCTCAAGCCTGCTGCATCAGTTTCCTTAGCAACACCCAAGAGAGCCTTGACTTCAGAAGAGCCTGGCTGGGCAATCATTCCGGAGACTGATGTAGGTTCCACTTGTTCTTAGCAACATCTACCAAGGTGGGCAAGGGCTGGCCTGAGAGGTGTCCAGCACTACTCTATCCTATCTTAGAGGTCTTGGAGGGACCTGTGCTCCTCATGCTGGACAAAGTCCAGTGAGAAAAGGGAGTAGTGGGCTAGGACTCCTGAGTTGAAGACTCAAGAAGCAGCTACCTCCCACCACCAGGAATTTTAGCAGGGCTGTTTGTGTACCTTCATCCCCCAAACCCTATGCCTGGCAATGTCCCTGGAAAGAGCCCTGGATGTTGGGAAGAGGGTGGGAATAGGGAGGGGGTAGTAGCAGTGACTTTTCTTAGCTTGGCGCCCAGACACGGACACCAGGCTGGGTTTCCCCTGCAGTCATCTGAGCTCTTGACCTCAGCAGTGTTTCTTCATTGCCAAGGGAACCACATCCACACTGGGCCACTCAGCCTCCAGGCATTCTGTCAGCTGCACCAACAAGCCTCAGAGGTGCCCAACATGTGCCCAGCTATGGTCCCAAGACTAGGACATAACCTTAAGACATCGCCCTCCTATCACCTGGCCTCTTGGTTACCCAGAAGTGGCAAACTGAGACTGGAATACCCCGTGGCCCAGGAAGAGGAAAGGTTCCTGTAGCTCAGATCTCCCCATGTCTCCAGCCTCAGTGGACTCAGACGGTCTGGTGTTCAAATCCCAGATCTCTACCTTGCTGTGTCACCTTTGCTCATTTATACTTTTTTAAGATGCTGTTTTCTGCTGTGGAAAGGGAGAAGTAATATCTTTATAGGGTTGTCATGAGACAGAAATGGTCACCTCTAACTCAATACCTCCCAGGCAGAATCAATTCGTAGCTGACCCTCCAGTGGGGTTCTGAGGCTGTAAGTCACGTGAGAGAAGACTGCCCATCTTTCTCCCAAGTGGCTGGTGGATTAGGACCCTTTGGTTTAACAAGACAACTCCTTACAGGCTGTTCCACCAAAACTGGTACCTCAATTAAATAACTTTACTCTTATCATCCTTGGTTGGATTGGATAAAATTTAATAATCTCGTGGGCTCTCTCCTATTTCTTCTTTCCACATGCTAGTCCAGGCAAGGGGCTGAGATCTCAGGAGTACCAGACACTGTCACTCCCATCTCCTCTCTATGGAACCGCACAGCCTTGCCTCTCCCTCAGAATCAAAATACTAGACAACTTAGCTGGACTTTAGTGTTCTCACCCTCACCCTCCTCTGCCAACAGCCCCAGGCTCCAGGACATCTGCCCTTGAATTCATTCATTCATTCATTCCACTGGGCTGTGCTAGGCCCCTACTGTGTGCTGGGGCAGGTTGATAACTGACAGTGACCACTTTGTAAGCCTGGTGACTGAAGGGTGAAAAGTCATAGGCCAAAACCACACCTGGTAGACAGTGTTTCAGGGGCCTAAGACTTGGCCACTCTTCTGTACTCCTGTGTCCTCAGACAGCAGCTGGAGTTCCAGAAAGTGCTCTGGGCGCTGGCCAAGAATGCACAGGTGGTGTCTCTACAAGCGCTACTGGTCAGGCAGTGATGAGTCAAGACTGGTAAAGGGATATGCCAGCTGCAGCGTCAACAGCTTGGATCCCTCGCCACTGGGGACTGGCTCTCAGAAGTGACTCAGTGACTTGCCTTCCCCCAAAACTCTCTTCCCCCAGCTGAACACATACTCCAGGTCCACGCGAATTGGGGCTATCAGGGCACAGGAGGAGGCTGGCCAAGAGGACCTTCTGGGTTCTGTGGAGCATAGGATCCCCCTGTTCTCTGCAGAAATGAAGGTCCACTATGAGGGCCTGAGACAGGCCATGCTCCGCTTAAATGCTCACACAGCAGCCCTCACCTCAGCAACTGGCAATGATGAGCCCCACACCACCCTCACCTCTCTCTGAGCCTGGGAAGCCAGACCCACAGCCTCACTTTTGGGCCCTAGTGGAGAAGTCACTCTCCTAGGATGGGAGAGAGCACTGGGAACCAGAGGTGGGATGGGCCTCGTCTTCCGCCAAGGCAACAGCGCCCCCTGCCAGTAGGCAGAGCCTGCCAAGCTGCATCCCACTCTCCTGCCCTTGATTCCGACTCGGTGACTGTGGGACAGAACTGCCGGCATCCAAGGCAGTAAATCTCTATCTATGGAAGCTGACTGCCGTGTATTTTTTTTCCTGTGGATGGATTATTGCGTGCCATCAAGTACAACCCACAGCGACCCCATGAACAACAGGTCTGAATCCTGTCCTGTCCTGTGCTATCCACACAATCTCCGATTGTGGACTGATTGGGTGGGCTCAAATAATTCACTTTTTGGTTAACTTCTGAGCTCTTTAAATCACGGCGCCACCAGTGCACCTTCCAAGCTACTTATGCTCCTTTTGACTCCCTGCCTGGAAGCCTCAGGGGAGCCAATGACTTGTACCTCAGTAACAGTAGTCACCTATTTTCCTCACAACCAGTCGGGATCATGAAGAGTAGCAGCTGCCACACAAGACTGAATGGAAAACCAACTGGTCAGAGTTCGTGAAACCCTCAGTCTGCTGGTCACTCTGCACAGGCTCAGTGCTGAGCGGGCCCTCACGCGCAGATCTGCCGAGAGCCCAGTCCTTGCTGGTGCCGCAGGAAGCCGTGGCCCACACTCGCATCTGAGGCCCAGCAGGGAGAGGCTGGAGCACGGCAAGGGCTCAGCTTTTTTTTTTTTCTGTGTGTGTGTGAGTGCACCGTCAAATCAGATCTGACTGGTACAGGAGGAGATTGTCCCTCCTTTCCCAGCAGAGCATCTGGTGTATTCGAACCATGCACCTCTGGGATTGTAGTTGCAGCTCCTTACCACTAGGCCACCAGAGCTCCCCAGCTTTATTTTTCTAATTGTGGTAAAGTAAATGTAACAAAAATTTTCCATTTCAACCATTTTTGCAACTATTTTTTTAATTGTGATTTGAATGAAAGTTAACAAACTGGGTTTCCTTTTAAAATGCTATACATTGTTTCATGACACTGACTACATGCATTGTTACAAGCACTCTCCCCACTTCCTCCCTGTGTGTCCACTCTTCCCTTCCTGCCTTCAGAGCTTTTTCCCTGGACAAGTGCTGCCCTTTTGATCTTTCTGGCTGAGTGGCCTAAGGAGTGAATTCTTCCTCATGTCATTGACCACTTTATAGGCCTGTATTGTTTGGTTGAAAGTTAAATCACAGGGGCGATTTCAGTTTCAGGCCTGAAGAGAGGCTAAGGGCCATAGTCTCAAGTAGTCTACCAGTCTCCACTAGACCAGTCTAGTGGTTTTTTGTTTTCTTTTGTACCACAGGTTCCTCCCTGTCGGGAACCCCATACTGTGTGCTTTCTTTCTGAGCTGTCAGGTATCAGATGGTAGATGGGCACCGTCTAGCCAGTCCTTCTCAACTCTGGGTCACGGAACCTGAAGTTCACATTCACATGATCCATTAGTCCTCTAGAACCTTTGATTTTATTCATCCTTCTTTGTTTTGAACAGTTTTGATTTACAGCTGCAACCTAGATGGCCACTTGAAAGCTTTAAAGATCTCAGTAGTTACTCGCCAAAGCAGGACGCAGGGCATTGTCTTTGTGGACCGTGTTGTGCCAATTGGCCATGATGTCTCCTTGATGATGGTCCAGTGCTCAGGCCCAGTGACTCATTTCTTCGAGGTGTTTGGTTATGACTAAGTTCTCGTACCTTTTGCTTTGTTTGCTCAATTATCAACATGGTTGTGTTTACAGCACATCCAGATGTACTGTAGAAATGGCATCTGCTATGTCTATATGGTCATTTGCTGACAACACTTTCTCATCTTGCCTATGTCTCCAATCATAGATAAGGTTAGGCTCTGTGATAGTAGCTATGCGCACCCTTCCACAACTTCCTCTTATGAGTGTGCTCTCTTCCTTGTATATTGTGTATTTCCCTTCACTAAATTTAAAAGGCATGTCTTATCCAGTTATGAGCTTCCCTCTCCTTTTTTTCCTGGTAACCATCAGAGTGTTTCTTTCTATGGATAAGCCATTCCATTTTCTCATACTATCATCACTTTACTTTAAAAGTGTACATACAATTCAATGACATTATATTCACCTTGTACAACCATCTTCCTTACCTAACTCTTACTCCCAAAGTATGTCCTGATAACCAATTGTGCTGGGTGAAGCTGGCCCAACACCTTACTACTTACTAGTTGTTGAGCGTTGATCCCAATTCATGACATTCCTATGAATGTCAGAGCAGAATTATGCTTTAAGGATGTTCAGTAGCTCAGTTTTCAAGAGGAGACCTCAAGTCTTTCAGAAGGTACCTCTGGGTGGGCCTGACCATCCAATCTTTAGATCAGTAGTCAAGTGCAAGCGTTGTGTAATCACGACCACTATTTCTCAAAGTTTTTCCATCACTCTAAACAGAGTATGTCTCCATTTCTACTGTCCCAGACCATGGTAACCACATGATAAATCTTTCTATTTGAGATTTCAAAAAAGTAGGGTCACACAATGACTATTCTTTTACCTGGCTTAACTCATCATACTGCTTTCAAGGTTAATCCAAGTAGCAGCATGAGTCAAAATTTTATTTCTCATTATGTTTGAATACTATTAATTCCACTCTATACATATCCCATGGGATTAACTGCTTCTAAAAACCCGCTGGAGGGTCAGCTATGGGTCAAGTCTGTCTCAACGGCACAAAACAACATATACTGTATTTTGTTTATCCATTCATTTGTTGACAGATATTTTGGTATACCTTTTGGTGGTGGTTGTTAATAATGCCACCAGGAACATGGGCTTATCTGCTTTCAAGTCTTAGGAATGAAATTGCTGGGTCACACGTTAATTTTGTATTTCACTTTTTGAGGGACCTCAGGGACCAACAAAGTCTTCTCTATAGCAGCTCCATCATTTTACATTCCTGCTAACACTGTAGAAGGGTTCCATTTCTTCACAACCTTGCAAACACTTGCTATTTCAATTCTTTATTCCATAATAGAAGGCTAGACCTCCACCCTTGCTTAAAGGCTCAAGGACACCCGCTTTTGTGGGTGGGGGACCAAAAAAGCAGTCGCACACATCAACCACGACCCAAAAAACTTCCCTTATGTGACTGATGTGACAGCCATGACCACCATAAAGATGCTCGCTAACAGCCAACTCCCAGAATGAAGGCTCCAGGCAGACCCATCCCCTCACTACGGGGTCTGTGGGCTGGCCAGGGGCCTGGAGCCTCCACTCTGGAAGTTGGCTGCTAGCGAGCATTTTTATGGCGGTCACATTGGTTATGTAAGAGACGCTTTTTTTTTATCATGGTTGATGTATACTACTGCTCTTCTTTTTTCTCCCACAAAAGCAGGAGCTCCTTGAGCCTTTGACCAAGGGTGGAGGTCTGCTAGAGGATGTGGCTTTAAAATCCCGCGGGGCCCTTGGGCCTGCAGCTCTCAGGCAAATTTATTAATTTTCAAATGAATATCCTTTAAATAACACAGCAACTGTTCCTCTGTTTGCTGTACTGAACAACTTGGAGTTACTGTAATGCTGAACACTGTTCCATAGTCTCGTCAAATACCATAATGGTTACCCATTATGTACAATGTTTGGATGAGCTTCCAGATTGGTTCATGCTGGGAAGCAGGAGTAGTATCCACTTCCTAAACTAGATGCCTCTGGAAACTCTACAAACTCTCCAAATGTGCAGAATGATGTTATAGAACAGAGTTCAGATCTTTTGGGCAAAGCTTACTCTGAGTCATCTTCTACTTGGCAGTTACATCACTCTTTGTCAATGTGCACTATAAAGTAAAACCTGGGTTGCTGTGATGCTAAACCTTGTGCCACTGGGTTATCAAATACCAGAACGGCTTCCCAATGTGGACGGTGTTTGGTGGAGCTCCCAGCTGTAAAACAGGTTTGGAAGCAGGAGTGCCATCCACTTCCTAAACCACATGCCTCTGGAAACTGTATGAACTTGGAGAAATGATGATAGTTATGGAAAGGCATTAGATCTTTTGTTCATAAAGTCGCTATGAGTCATGCTCAACATGACAGCAATTAACAACAAAATAGAAGGCAAAGCTCTTTAATATTCTCCAGCTTCCCTAAGCAAAAAAGAGGACCCTCAACCACATAGACTGACAGAGTGATCGCACAGTGTACATTGTGAGGAAGGTGCAGGCCCACACAGTGTCCTATTCTGTTGCAGAGGGTTGCTATAAGTCAGAGCTGACTGAATGGCACCAAGTAAGTATCCTAACAGAAGAAAAGGAGGCAGGGAGTCACAGCCACAGGCCTCCTACCTGGCTCAGCCAAGGTCTAAATCCCAAAGTATGTCTTGGTAAGCTACTGTGCCAGATGAAGATGGCTCAAAACTGGAGTACATCATGTCAGGTGCTAAACTGGGGTGACAGACTTCTGGGCAAACTGATGGAAAGGAAGCCTCCTGTGACTTTCAATAGAGAAACTGGGTATCACAACGCTGATCAAGGACTGGACTGAGCATCACCAACGGTGGATCAAGCTACCCATACACACATACCAGAACATGCAAAGGATACACCCAACTTTGGACAGGCTTCTTTAAAAAGAAATAAAAAATACAAAGAGGCAAACCTGAACTCAATCGGGCCTTTAAAGCAATTTCCAGGGCATGAAAACACTGGGGACAACAGAACAAATCCAAGTGTAGAATATCTCCAGGTCACCGACTAGTATGGGGGGGGGTGGGGATCAGTGCAACTAACAAAAAAATGGGGGTAATAAATACATGAACCTTGACTGCTTCCTAATTTAGAAAAGAAAAACTATAAACAGCACTTTGAAGAAATGTGCATATAGACTTGCAAGTAGATGGTACCGGAGAATTGCTGGTTCTTTTGGTCAGGTAATAGGACGGTGGTTATACAGGTTTCCTCTTCAGAGACAGAGGATGAAGTACTCAGGAGTGAAAAGTCTCTACAACTTACACTGTATTCCTACGCAAACAAAATGTGCTATATGTTTTCTTTTTTAAAAAACCTTCACCACCCATCAGGTGCCAGTTTCCTGTGAGCACTATACATACTGCATCTATGAGCACATTATTTACACGGGTGCAGTTTATGTGAAAATGCAACACGTTAACAATCCTTGATTCCAAGTGTTGTTTTTTTCTGCGTCCCTGGGTGGGCCCGAACCAGATTCCAAGTGTTTTGTGTCTACTACACCACTCCTTCAATTATTGTCTACACTTCTAACTTTTCTGAATCAAAATATTATAAGAAATTTTAAAAGATAACACTGTATTAACACGTCATCAACCTGCCCTGAACAGGCATGCACTACCAACACCCCCTTTCAAGCCCTAAATCATCCCACTGAGATGAACAACTCTTAAGTCATGCTGGAAAATGAATATAAATTAAGGGTTTATTATAAAATGCAAAATTAGTTCGTTTCTCATTAACAGCGATTCAAGAAAACACCACCATCAGTCTTGGTTGGCGCTGGGGCCAGAACATGAGTGTTCGGGTTAAATGCCAGGCTCATGAGCGAGATGACAGACACTGGTTCACAACCTCCAGCAAGTGGGTGTTCTCCAGGGCGGCAGCTACCCGCTCCTTATCTGCCAGCTGTTTATTCACTGGGTGGAAGGAGAAAGTGAGGGAGGCAAGGTCAAAGCCAGGCTGTGGCTAAGCTGGTTATTATTCACACTTTTGAATCATCATACCTTCCTGTCACTTCCTTCCCCATGACCCCAAGCCTCAACATGGTGAGCCTGGCCACCTGCGCTCACAACTATTCCACTATCTGGGAAGCCTCCCACCTAGATGCCCATGCCTGTCTCATGTATTCCTGAAGGCTGATGCACCTGAGCTGTATGCATAGGGAGAGGACATATGAGCACAGGAGACTCCTGCCAGGCCAGCTTCAGGCTGAGCTATCATCTTCATCATAGCAAAGGAAATGCCCTCACCTGCATGCTCTGAGGCATGGGTCCCTGGTGTAATGTGCACGTCCATCTGTGAAACAAACAATAAGGGCCTGAGCCACACTCCAATATCACTCCCAACTCTTCACAGGTGGGCATTTAGTTAGTCAAAGACCCATCTAGTGCTATTAATCGCCCAACTGTGTGCCCCACCCTCCTTACAGCTCCCAGCTGCCTTTCCTGCCATATTCACTTTTCTGGACTTTCCAACTTTATTCTTGTTGTCCCATCCACTTGGAAATCTCTGTCTTAGTTTCATCATCAATTCTAGCTGAGATCCTCCCAGGCCCCCAATGATGTCCCCTCCTTAGTATCGGACTCTTACAGCAGCCCCACTTGCTGGGTGGGTGGGGGGGGGGTTGGAGTTTGGGAAAAGGGAGAAACTGTGTGCAATTCTGACCTTGAAACGCTGGGGAAGGGATCGAAGCAGCTTAACTTTGATGGACAGGCCAATAAGGGTGGCCATGCTGCAGTGCGGAATGGTGGGAGTGAAAGCCACCGCCACTGTGCTCTCTGAGTCGCTCACCTGGTGAAGGAGACGTGAAGGGTCACCGCTGACCTAGCCCAGGGCTCCTGTTCTGAGTTGGCTGCTTCAATTAGACAAACTGTCTAATTTCGATGACTCTTACCTTCCTCATCTACAGAATGGGTACAACCACCCCACTACCGCCACCGTCAACAAGCCCCGAGATGAACCGGGAGAATGTCAGCCACAGCTGAGCCTTTCTAACTATCCGCAAATAAGCTGCTTCTCTTGGGATTTAAGCGATTCACCTGAACTCGAACTTGCTCCACTACGTTCAATTCCTCCAGCGTCAACGGATGCTCCGGGTCATTGATTGAACGAATCAGATGTGGCAAGTGAAGGAAAAGGGCCTCTGTCCACTCAGGACCCTCTTCCAGGGAAACCCCACCCCCGTACTATCCTCCAGGTGGACATCATTCTCGCCCTCCCTCCCCGACCCCACGACCCAGCCCCCGTCCAGCCACAGCGGATATCGAAGATCTCGCGCGCGTCGATGCTGTCGGGCACCTGCTCGTCCTCCTCGCCCGCGGTCACGGGTCGCTCCCCAGAGCGCTCGTAGATGAGAGGGTTAGCGTTCTCCAGGGGGCCACCCCCGACCCCGCCACCGCCGCCCACCATCGCCCGATCGGCCCCGGCCGCAGTGAGCGTGCACTTTGTTTGGCCCCGTGCACTTCCGGTGAGCAGGAAAGGGGCGTGGTTTAACGACGGGGCGCGGGAGGGACATTTCAAGCGCCCGGGGGTTGCGCGTGCAGGATTTGCAAACCTGGAAAGATGGACTTGACTGGAGCAAAGGCGCAGACAAGGGCCTTGACGGCTCTTTCGAACTAGACCAAGGCTAGTTCTCGAGGAAACGCTGAAGGCTGATCTGACTGAGCTTGAGCAAGGCGTATCCTCAAATAACTCTGCACCTGACAATTAAAAACCTGAACTCAGAAACAACTATGACATACCATCTCACCCCAGTAAGAATAGCAAAATTTAGCAGAACAGTAAACATCAAATGCTGGCGAAGTTGCGGAGAAACTGGAACCCTTATTCACTGCTGGTGGGAGTGTAAAATGGTGCAACCACTATGGAAGGCTATATGGCGACTGTAAGTTGCAAATAGAAATACCATTTGACCCAGCAATTCCACTACTAGGAAGGAATATACCCTAAAGAAACCAGAACTACCACCCAAGCAGATATATGCACTCATGTTTATTGTGGCTTTGTTCACAATAGCAAAGAGTTGGAAAGAACCCAAGTGCCTGTCAACAAACGAATGGATAGAGAAGCTCTGGTATATTCATACAATAGAATACAATGCTGCTTTGAAAAAGAAGGGACTCATGGAATATTATACAAAATGGGTGACCCTGAGGGACATTATGCTGAGTGAAATATTTCAGTCACAAAAGGACAAATACTGCATAGTGCCACTGTTGTAAAGCGGAACTGACATTGCAGTTAGGGGGGAGGCTGAGAAAGAAGGGATAAATCATGTATACTGCATTGAAACAGATGAGGGAGAGAACTGTTTAAAAGGGAAATATGATTAGGTATTATGGTCAGTCCAGAATGAAGGTTGCATAGCAGAGTGGACTTGGGAGGAGGGATTGTATAACAATGAGAGAATTTTTCTTTTACTTTTCAAAGAGAAGAGTGTACTGGTGGGAGGGGTGGGCAGGGAGAAAAGTGCAACAACGAATGAATGGAAATACAAAGTCTCTGTAGACTTTCATTAAAATTAATTTTTTTAAAAAAAAGGAAAAAACCCCTAAAAACCTGAACTCTTTGCCATTTGGCTGGAACCAATTATAGCTGCCCCTCCTTTGGGTTTCCAAAGCGGTAAATGCTGTGGAAGGAGATTGCTCATCTTCCCCTCCCTCCCCCCACTTCCAGAGCTACTGGTGGATTTGATCCTCCAAAGAGGTGGGTCTTTTGGGTCAACATTGCAAACCCCCTACGAATTAGGCCACCAAAGTTTCCTACAACCAACAATAATGTCGTAGTAAAATAACACCTGATACTACCCCAGGCAAAAGAACTTTATAAAAACAACTATAACAAATATTTTTTTAATTATCAAATTAAAAAGACCTTTTCATTGCCCTTTCCCTCATGTTGCTGCTATCTATGACTGATAGAAATTACTCTCCGTTAGCCAAAACATGTGAGTAACACTGTCTAGAATATTGATAAAACGGGAACAACTGGTCCAGGACATGACCACTGATCAGAGCTCCTTAAAACCAAAGATACTGTAAAATCTCATGTTATTAACTAGTTGTTCTCCTATTTTCTCTCTTTCCTATTAAACCCCTATTCCTGATCTCTAACTCAGACAGCAAGACACTGGGATGCTCATACCTCTATATCCTACATCCTGCTATGTAATAAATACTGCTTTTTCCACTTCAACTCCTGTCTGATAAGATTGGTTTTGCTGGGGGGCAGGAAGGAGAATGGTGTGTTTGCAGTAACCCCACCTCCTTCAGAACGTCTTTGCTGCCACTCAGGCTGGAGAGACAGCTTTGCTGCCTTCTAGACTTGGGACTCTTCTGCTTCCTTCACTGCCTGAGGGGTCATTTGTGCCTGGCCAGATCCCAGCTGGTAAATCAATAATAAATGGTCTTTGATAAATGTTTGTCTAATGAGTAAGGCCATGTAAGAGAAAAAGTACCATAGTCATGTGTGTGTCTTTGAAAATGTGGGTAATAACTGAATGGAGTGAGGGGGCATCCATGGAGACTCTCAGACAAGAGAGAGAAAGGAGATGTGGACAGTTGAAGAGGGCCTGCAGGAAGCTATGAGTCTCTGGAATGCAGCACAGAGAGATTTCAGGATAAAAGACAGTCACAGCCTTGCCTGAGTCATTCCCTTTTTCCTGAAGACGTGATTGTGCACACTTCCTCAGGGAAGTCCTCCTGGGTTTCTCCATCTCTAGTTTCTCAATCAAGGTGTAGTGTTCCCTCCTACCCTTGACTCACTTAACTGCAGCACCCCTCCACCCTCACTTCCCTTCCCCCCCCCCATCATGGTGGGCTTGTGACAACAGGCCAGTGAGTATCTATCTCAAGGTGGTTGTTGTGTACCAGAGTCAGAACCCACCCATTGCTGACCTTCTGGCGGGTTTTCAGAGGCAGCTACTTGCATGGGAGGAGATTGCTCATCTTTCCTGCAGAATAGCCCCTGAAGGGACTGCAGAAACCGAGCAGTTCCTTTCAAAGGGTCACTGGAGTCCAGGCCACCCAGGCAAGTCCACCCTGGTTCCTTGGCTGGCCTTGGCCAGATCAGCCAGGCTGGCCTGCTAGGCTGACCTTTCCGCTCGCAAGGCGCCCCACCTCTTCCCCGCCCAGAGCAAAATCCGAGGTTGGGAGAGGTGCCCAAAGGCATCAGCACAGATTTGGCCAACTGGCTGGGAGAACTCAACAGGCTTGCGGAAAGCGGAGAGAACTACAGCGCACAAGCATGCGACCGGGAGGGCTGAGCGCGCTGCTGGGCGCGGTGGTCTGCGGGCTCCTGCTCCTGCTGGTCCCAGCGCTGGGTGAGGCTCCGCGGGGCGCACGGGGCAGGCTCCCCACTGAATTCTGTAGTGGCTCCGCCGGTGGGAGGAATGGGGCCGGAGGGGAGAGGACCTGACCTGGCTGGCGCCTGGGGGTGGAATTGAGGGGCCACCCAGCACAGAGGGGCGAGCTCGCCTGGGTCTCTCAATCACAGCTTATTATTATTCCCTGAGGGGTGCTCAGGTGAGTTGATCAGAGGGATTTAGAGATTCCGTCCTCCGGTCCTCCTGGTTGAGGCCAGTTCAACAATCGGAACAGTAACAAGACCACCTCTTGCCTTTACTTTGGGGACTCTGAGTTTACCTAACTGCCCTGGCCAGACAGGTGCTTGGAAACCAGAGTCCTCCTCTGGTAAAGTGCTGTTGGGTGGTGTGGAATAGGTTCCCACTCCAATTGTCAGTACAGAAATGGCCTGTAGGGTTTTCTGGGTGATCTTTATGGGAACAGATCACCAGGGCTTTCTCCCACGGAGCCGTTTAGTGGGTGCCCATAACCTTTTAATTAGCAAGTGGTACTAAATACCAGCCAAGAAAAAAAAAAAAAACCAGCCAAGGTAATGGATGGATTCTAATTAGGTACAGAGACGACCCAGGCAAGACACCCCAGAGCCTGTTGGAGTGGCTGCTGTGTCTCTCTCCCCACCCTAGAAACGTGACTTTGTAGGAACAACACCTCCTCAGGAAAGTCTTTGCTCCTCACGCTGGAGAGTGTTCTGTCCCCATGGCTGCCTTTGTCCTGGAACATTTACTGCCTTTGGGACTTGAGACTCTCTATGCCAGTGACATGCCTGCCTCCTTTGCTGCACTGAGGCCCATGTACAGTAATGTTTGCACTCAGCAGACTAGCAGGCGCTCAGTGTCTGTTTGGCAAATGAAAGCCACTTAAGATAAAAAGTCCCACAGTCATGTGTGCAGTTGAAAAGGAGGGCCATGGCTGAATGGGGTGGGGGATGTTCATGGTGACCCTCACACAAGCTAGAGGAAGGAGTTGGACACTGGGAAGAGGGCACGGCTGGCCACACAGAGATGAGCCTGTGTTGTGCTGATTCTATGCCTCTCAGGATACAACCTCCCAGCCCTCTCTGCCCTCAGCACAAGCACTAGCCTGAATGTGCCACACCCAGACACCCAGGTTCTTTTCATCCCCTGGGCTCCAGCTCTTGACTTTCTCACCCAGTTCCAGAATCTGCCCACGCAGGAGTCCTCCACACTAAGCCCTTCTGCGAAGCTCACCTTTGTGGGGCTGCAGTCCAGATCCTGGCCTGATACCAGGGCTTCCTGGTGGTCACAAGCTGTCCCCTTTCTTAGAATTGTCTCTTCCTTTTCCTGACTTAGGGGAGCCATCTGCCAACACCTTAAAAGATAGAGCTTTCTCATTGGTCAGGGGAAGAGTTTTTCAAGATGAAGTGACCACACTGAATGCATGGACAGACTTGCCCATCCAGCCAGGCAAGGAATTGTGTGCAGACAGCATACTGCCTTTGGAGAGACGAGTGGGTCTTTTGATTTGGAAGGTTGTGAAATTGCTCTCATGGACTCTGAGAGTGGCCTGTCCTCACCTATCACTGGAAGTGTCAAGCCCACTATCAAATTTGTTATCTGACAGATGAAAGGTTGGTGCCTCCAATTTAGTTCCCACTCAGAATAACCTATGGACAATAGAAGGCGGTGTTGCCCAATCCTAGCCATCCTCAAAATCATGGCTGCCTGGCAGCCCATTGTCATGTCCACTGCGGTGATCCATTTTGTTGAGAGTCCTCCTCTTTTTCAGTGACTCTCTACTGACAATAATAATCTTCTTCTCCAGAGACTGCCCCCCAATAACAGATCCAAAATATGAGACAAAGTCTTGCCATTCTTGCTCCAAAGTAGCACTGGTCTCTCTCCTGTTCGACATCTCCCAAGACAAATATGTAAGGTTGCCGAGGAAGGACAGACCCAGTGCAGGCTAAGAAAGATAGTTTATTGAGGAGAAACTGCTGGGCTGGTTCCCAAGCAGAAGACCAGCCCCCACTGAGAGTTAGAGGGGGATTTTATACTTTCATACATGGGAACTGGGAAAAGGGATGCA